GCCGCCGATGTCGGAGGACGCTCTGGGCGCGCACGGCGAGGCGGTGAGGCTGGAGCTCCAGGGAGAAGAGCTGCGCCTGCAGGAGGAGAGCGTGCGGCTGCACCAGATCAACATCTACCTCAGCGACCGCATCTCACTGCACCGCCGCCTGCCCGAGCGCTGGAACCCGCTGTGAGTCCGCAGGTGGCGGGAGGGCACTGCCCGCGGAGTCCCCGGGCCTCAGTTTCTGCGGCTGTGAAGTGACGGGGTGGAACCAGGGTCTCGAAATACTTGGGGATCCCGCTTCTTACTGAGTCTTACTCAGAAGTGGGCAAAGGGTCCATGGCTGGGGACAGGGGGCGCAAGAAAGTTTTAAAAAATGAAAACAGAAAAATCTCAGAATTGACAAATCTGTTACTAGGTGGTCGCTTGGCTCCCTCTCCCTTGAGAAAATCTGTCATTCGGCCCTGAAAAGTGTGGGGCTCCGGGCTAAGGAGACAGATTTAATATGAGACCCCCTGGGTGCCCGTCCTGGATCCCCAGGCACCCCCAGTCCAGCTCTGCCCTTTTAACGTCTTGCCTTGGCAAAGCAAAGAACCTGTGTGGTTTGAGACAGGCTTCATTCGCTTATCTTTGTGCACCTGTGTGCTCCAGGGCCCATGAATGAACCAGGAGGAGAGGGTGCGCCCGGCAGGTGAGGTGAAAGGTGCCTAGAAGGGCAAGTCAGAGGTAGCAGGCCTCCTTCCCTCTCTCTGGAAGTTGGAGTCCTTCCTAAGCTTTAAGTGGAGGAAGGCAGGAGGGAGCAGGTGGTGAGAAGGGCTCCTTCTGGCTGTGGTCCAGCCCACCTCACTCCGGGTGACACAGTCCTGGAACCTGTGTGATCAGAGGCCTAATTCCTGTTAGAGCTGCTGGCTGGAAGGGTTGTGCTCACAGCTTAGGTGAGAAGGGAACAAGCTAGCAGAAGGAAGATGGCCTTCCTGACCTTCTATTTCCTTTCCTCTTTTGGTGAGGACCTTCTGGGTCCCCTACTGGAGCCTCCTTAAAGACTTTGAGGGAAAGAGGGCACAGAGAGGGAGTTCTGGAAGGAGCCAATGGGACAGCCTCCTGTGTGCACCAGGCACCTGCCACTCCTCCTTGCTCCTTGTCATTCCTGCTTTGCACGTGTGGAAATAGGCTCAGAGAGGTCAGGTGACCCACCCAAGGCCTTGCAGCTGGAAAGTGGCAGAACAGGCCTTGGGAGACTGATCTCCTGGCCCCCTTGGCACTGTGCTGATTGCAGGATTTTAGGGACCTGCTCTGTGACTCCTCGGCCAGAGAGAGCATGAATCCCTGCAGGAGGCCCCACCTCTGCCACCACTGGCAAAGTTTGGATGGATTTGCACCTCACTGTCTCCTCTATATTGGAGAATCTGCTCATGCCTAGCCAATGCTTTTACCTTAAGCATTTTCACTGTTAACGTTTTTGCGTAGAGCTTGTTTGTTGGGGTTGGTAGCAGTTCCCCCACTTCAGCCAAATGGCTGAATACATGTTTATCTCCTTGAAACTCCAAGGGTGCTCATGGAGGCAAGATCTAGGGGAAGCTTTCAGGTCCAACTCAGGGTCCAGACCCAGCTCATGTGAGATAAAATCCTGACTCTTTTGCTCGTCAGTTCTGTGATGTTGGGCAAGTTACCTAGCCTCTCTGAGCCTCAATTTCCCTATCTGCAAAATAGAGGATGAGTAGAAATAACACAATGTAGGAATTAATAAAACACCTAACACCTGGGAGCATACTGTGTCCTCAATTCTTAATAGTTTTTCCTGTCTTCCCACTTGCTAACAATACACTCAGGAGGTTGCTTTTAAGAGTCATTCAAGGATTGGTCATAAAGTTTTTCTTTTCTGGCTTCCAACTTCCTTTATTGTCCCAGGTTGTGAAACACTGTGGACGACCCATGGGGCTTATGGTATCCCGTCTCCATGGTGACACAGCTGCCCTGTGTCCTATCAGGATTTGCTTGTAAGTCCTGCTGTTGCATTGACCCTGGGAAGTTAATCCAAACCCAGCGTGATAAGGAGTGTGAATGCCTCCTGCCTTAAATTCCTGTAGCAAGGCCTGTTGAGTCATACTTGCCTAGCTGGAGAGAAAAGTGAGCTCCCTCTGTGTAGGTCTCAGCCTGTCCAGGCCTTGAGGAGGGTCAGGGCCTTTCATGAAGACTCACTTTTATTATAGTTCACACAGGGGTGAGAACCTAATAAGATCTTGAAATTCAGCCAGAGAAACCAGAATGGCAGATTAGGAGTTCGCAGTCAGGGTCATGGGGGTGGGGGTGGGGATGGAACTCTAATCGCTAAGCATGGTTAAGATCCTTGACTGTCATAGGAGAGGAGGCCCTGAGGGGGCATGCAGTCTAACCTCAGAGAAAAAGCCATGCCCCCAAGGTAACGCAGAGATCTGGGGCAGAGCTGATCTAGAACCTAGGTCTTTTCTTCCCTCCTCCCTGTTAAGGTTGAGGCAATTATTTATCTATTCTAATTATAAAAGCAATACATGTTCCCTGTAGAAAAATTAGCATGTACACAGAAGCAAAAAAGGACAAAAAATAAAAGTCACCCATAAACCTACCACCCTGGTAAGAACCACTGTTAACATTTTGCTGTGTATCCTTCTAGACTTTTCCAGATACAGAAATAGACTTAGAAAAAGATACTTATGGGTATGTAGGTGAGAACACATTCAAACATGAGTATGTTCAAAGGCCCACACACATTTTAAACTCCAGTGGATAAACCTGTTATCATAGGCAAGGAGTTTGGACTATTTGGCTTGGTTGTTCCTGGCGTCCACAAGCCTTGGTACCGTGTCTGCTCTCCTGGACAGGGCCAGACCAACAGAGACACTTCTGAGTGTTGACTCTAATTCCTTGAGAATACATGTAGACCCCGGCCCTTCTGTGAGGCTAGTAATTCACATGCCAGTGGATTAGTGCCCAGCTTTTTTCCTATTAGTTACAGCACTGAATTGAGGAGGAGAAAGAGGATGAGAATGACAAGGAATCCTTGCTTGGTAGTATAGTAAGTATAGGGTTTGCACAACTCTGACTGTCTCATTTGAGCCAAGCCAGGAGAGGGAATTTTCACTCTGAGATGGCAGCAGCCAAAGTGGGAAGCCGGATAGCTGGGTTTGTGGCCTTGGGGGACTTTTAAAAATTATATACAGGAACTTACCCAGAACAATTCAATAGAATTTTGGTGGATAGGGCCTAAGCTGAGGCTGATGTACAACTAGGGATGGAAGCTACTGGCTTAGAGCCTGTGGGTTGCTCACTTGGAAGATTAAGGGTGGGTGCTTTTGAGGGTATGGAAGAACACCAGAATTAGACAGAGTGAGGATTAATAACAGATCAAGTGCAGTTGAAACTAGTGGTGACATCACAGTCGGTTGTAAGGTGTGTCACAAGTAGGTGGTTGCTGATAACTTACTAACACTGGCAGAAAGTTTTAGTTTCCATGAATCAGGGAAGCCTTGAGATAATACTGTACTGTCATTCTCATTTGCATTCTGACCTGTTTAGCAGGAAAGGTGGTGTGACAGCATCCGTGTATGGGGACGCCACCTGTGTGGACGTTGTCAGCTGTTCTCTGCTGTTGCCGAGGAGTTGTGAACCACTGGTTAAAAAAGTGTGTAAATATTACATGCAGGTGTTTTCATTTTTTGGACGCTTACTGTGGTTTTGGCCTTATTACTGCTATAGTTACTGATGTGTACCTGACTTTAAGGACTAGGACTTGGGTACTAGGATGGTAAAGATTCTCCAAACAGTTCTGAATAGGTAATTCAGCAAAAGAAAGGATTTGTGTCTTGCTGCAGTTGGCAGGAAGGCCTTGGTTAGGAGCTCTCTTTTTGCAGAGAGATAGCCTACTTGTCTGTTTTCTTAACACTACCTTTGGAAAAACATCACACGTGATGTGGAGATTAGACCAAATGATTCTTTTGCTTCCCCAACAAGGTTGTAAACTGAGGCTATTTTATTAGTTTTTATTAGACCCATCTTGTGGTTACCAGAGTGTTCATTCTTTGAATTAGTACTTTAGGTCTACAGAACACGTTAAGTTTTCGTTAATATTTTCCTGATCCCTTTTTCTGTCCTTTCACTTTCACTCCATCTGTGTCCTTAGGTTTTAGGTGTGTCTCTAATTAGCGTGTAGCTGGATTTTGTGTTGTCATTAAAACAAAATCCAGACCAATAATCTTTGATGTTAACTGGATAGTTATGTCCATTTATACTTATCATGCTTACTGATAACTTTAGTGTTTGAGTATGCCATCTTATTTTATGCTGTTTGTTATGTTTTTTCTTCATGTTTTTAAAATTGAAGTATAGTTGATTTACAATGTTGTGTTAATTTCTGGTGTACAGCATAGTGATTCAGTTGTATATATATTCTTTTTCATTATAGACTGTTAGAAGGTATTGTACTGTGCTGTGCTGTGCAGTAGGACCTTGTTGTTTATCTGTTTTCATCAAGATTTTCCTTGTAGTTCCACTTGTATAAGATATTCTGTCAGGGTTCAGTAGGTATTCTGTGAGAACTGTTCCACATGTAGATGTATTTTTGATGCATTTGTGGGAGAAGGTGAGCTCTACATCCTATTCCACCATCTTGAAGCTCCTCCTGTGTGTGTGTAGTTTTCTTTTTTTTTTTTATACTGGTTTTGAGGTGGTAGATCCTCCCCCAACTTCTCATTCCATTTTTCTCTATCTACTAATTTGGCAGTTATATTATCTATTTCTTATCTTTAGTGGTATATTTGAAAGTACATATTTAACTCAAAAAGGTCTGAATTAATCAGTACCTTAGAATGTTTTAAGACTGATCACCTTCCTTCCCAATTTGTATGCCATTTTACCCCAGTATTTTAATTCTGTCTTGCTTTTTAAACCAATGCATTACACATTTTAAAAATGCAGTATTTGTTTACATTTATCCACAGTTTTACCATTTTCTCTGCCCATCATTCTTTTCTGAAGGGTGGTCTTTGGGTCTCAGAGATCTTTCTCGGGTTCTTTTCCTTATTCCTGAAATATATCATGTATTAATTGCTGTAGACAAGGTTGTTGTTGTCAACTCTCAGTTTCATTTATCTGAAGATGTTTTTGTTTTGTTCTTGTTCTTGAAAGATAGTTTGGTTGGGTATATAATTCCAGGT